TGCTTCCTCCCTAGCTGCACCACAGCACTCTCTGAGGGCACACCGAGCTATAGCAATCGTTATTCTTCCCTGCACTGATGTCTGGGACGTGTTCACCTGACCGTGCTTAGCATGGTCTAAGCCTGGTCTTTCATCTGGGCCTGGCCTTGGACCTCCTTCCTGGTTGCAGGCAGGAATTGGTCTCTCACTCTAGCACAGCTCAGGGGTCTCATCCCTGGCTTTGGGTGCTCTCCCTCTGACCTCTCCATCCCCTCTTCCCTTGGGCATTCTAGGGAGGAAAGACTCAAGTTATGGCTCTTCCAGGACTGAAGGATCCCTCTTTTTTTTTTTTTTTCCTATGCACAATCTGAACCTGACAGGGAATTTGGGAAAAGAGCATTCTGCTACACCTCCCAACCTGGGAAAGCCAGGTACCTCTGGGGCTGCAGTAAAGGACTCAGGCCCAAGTCTTCCCATGCTCTCCACATCTTTGCACTGTGGCTAGTAAGTCCGAGTGTCTGACAAGCACTGGGCTAGTCAGCAGCACCAGGGGGAACTTCTCAGTTCAGAGGAGAATTTGCATCCAAATGTGTTGTGCTGGCTGCATTACAGTTTATTTCAGGATCTGGCATGGAGACTTCTTTTCTAAAACCTGGACTTTTTCCTCCATAGCACTCTCTATCATTTGATCACTATTTCTATCATCTGTGCAATGCTATTATCTCCACTATTTTTACTACCTGCATTATGACTTGCAGATTTCTTTACGAGTAAGGAATACAGATGTTTTCTGGGGTCAACATCTTATTTTCCTCTCTTCAGAGAGACGAGAACAGGCTGAAACATCCACGGTAGGCCACAAGCACAGCCTCGCTTCTGACGCTAACTGGAGCCCTCATCACACTCCAGCTAGGCAGCCAAACATCCGATTCGTCAGCAGACCTCGCTGTCCTTTCTGTGCGTGCGGGAAACCATTCCTGAAGGAGTCTCAGCAAGGAACCGCTGGAGATATTTCCCTCTTTCCTCACATTTCTGTTTTCTTTTCTGGGAGAATCAGTTTTGGAAACATGCGATCTCCAGGCAACTGCCTGGCACGCTTTGAACCCGCGCTGCGTCCTGACCCGAGCCCACTGGTAGCAGCTCGGGATGCCGGCCAGGAGCCAGTGCCTAACGGGGGGAGCGGGGAGAGCTGCGCCGAAGAGCCTGGCCCAATCCCCAAAGCTTCAGCCTTCTTGTCTGAGTGCGGAAACCTCCCTTGTGAACAAGCTGCATCCTGCGAGGCGTTTGCTGAGGAAGCAGCCCCTCAGGCCGGGGTCTCCAGGAGGTTTTGTGCAGGGGAGGGGAGATGCCTTCCTGTGCTGGCCAGCAAGAGGTGGAGAGGACCAAGGTCGGGGCACCCGTGGGTGAGGAAGCCTGGAGATGGCAGAACGACTCTCCTCTGAGAACCTGCACTAACTTGCCTAACCAGGAGCCCAGGCTGCAGGACATCAAAGCACCAGCTCCTCAGCACCTTTAAGGCTCTTGGCTGACTTTCCTACCCTCACACAATCTTCCGAGGGGTCACAATGACCCCTTGGAGGGCTGCAATGTGCCCCTGGAGACCACTCAATGTGCCTGCCTGCCTGTCTGCACCCACCCGCACGCACCTGGGTTTCCCCTGGTGGCCTCAGAGTCCACCTGGGCTGGGACAGCCCACAGTGTCTCTGTCCCCTCCGAGGATGGCCAGTGTTCCTGCCGGGGGTCAATCCTGTGCCTCTGGTATGGAAAGTCCAGAAGGACAGATGCCTCTCTCCAAATGCTGGGGAGTGCTGGATTTGGCACCTTTCAGAGGAAAAGGTGCCCATATGGGGGCCCAGCTCCAGCCCCTGAACGCAGTGTCCTGCACATATCGGCACCTCAGCGTCAGCAGAGCGGCAAGGCCTGAGCCCAGGGTGCTGTTTGGGCATCCGGGCCACGGAGCTTCTACCTGCAGCCAGTGCAAGCCCAGGGCTCAGCTCCTACCTGCGCAGGAGCCCAGTGGGACACGGCAGCTCTGTCAGAAATGGTCTGCTCGGGTGCAATGAGGCTGCCCCTTTCTCCTCCTTCTAAACCTGTTATCTCTCAAGGGTCTTTTTTCCTGCCTGGCTCACAGCTAGGCTGGTTTGGAGGCACTGCAAGGGACACTTCGCTGTCACCGCTTGCAGGTGCTGCCCGTGTGCAGCCTCGCAGGTGCAGCTTCCCTGTCCCCTGCCACCAGGCATGTCCCTGCCCTGGTCTGGCCCCAGCGAGAGCTTGCAGGGCAGGAAGCACGACGGGCCCCTGCTTGCAGCAAACCAGGCTGCAGAGACACCGGTCACTCCTCCATGGGAGAGTGTCCCCTCATGTCCCCATCAGCACAGAGACCATGTCCTGGCCCAGGGCCGGCTCTTCTGTAAACTGCCTGCGCAGACCAGCAAACTACTCCGAGAACAAGCCAGGAACTGGAGCGGGGCCAAAAACACTAAACAGTCAAAAACTCCTGCAGGATTTTGCCAAGGAGCCAAAACCTTCCTGGGATTGTCCCAACTAGCAAATGCTTGCAAGCTGGCGGGCAAAGCCACCGTGGTGAAACAAGCCAGCACCAAGGAGCACTCGGAGCAGTGGCAAGTGCCCAGGAGCGACGGGCATCCGATTGAGGATGGCGCTCGGAGCCTGGCCACAGGCCCCTGGGCTGCAGCTCTCCAGGACCAGGCTCAGACGGCAGCTTGGCCGGACAGGGAGCGCCTGTCTTGGCACTGCTCCGGACCGGACTGCCTGCTCAGCCAGAGGCAAAACAGACGGCAGTTGGGGTCCTGGGAAATCACAGCGCTGGGTCAGAGCAGGGTCCCTCAGGACCTGGCACGGAGTCCCTGCCCGACTCCGCAGGCTCTGCCCGGGAAGGGGGTGCCCATGCAGCTCTCTCCTCTGCCCCTTTCCCCGAGAAGCTGGTCCACGCAGCGCGGGCTCTGGCACTGACCCTCTTGGTGTCGCTCCCTTTGGCCGTGCACTGCCTGGCACAGCCCTGGCCCTGTCCCCTGCCCAGCCAGCTTGCCACCTGCCTCCTCCCTGGCCTCCCGCCCCTCGCCGCACTGTCTCCCCGCCGCGCGGCGCCTTGCCCGCTTCGGCCAATGCAGCAGCCCGTAAATCTGCGTCGCGAGCAGTGCTCTGCATTTCTCCGCAGTGCTTCACTGACTGCTCCAGAACGGAGAAACAAGTGGCTCTTGCTCTGAAGCACGCTGCTCCCTGTGCGCTTTGCACGCTAATCACTACAGACTAGGAAGCTCCCACGCAGTGTGGCTGGGGGAGCACCCGCCATGGTGACACAAGGGCTGGTCCCCCCTGCGCCTGCGCATGGCCTGACCGTGCAACACAAGCCATCCTGCAGGCTGTGAACTCCGTCACGCGTCACGGTGTGCTGCAGGGGTGCCCGGGCCCCGGTGCGCCCTGTGCCCACCTCCCCACTGCGGCCGCGGGAGCAGCTTCGTGTGCATTGGCACACACTTGGAGATCTCATCTGGTCCCCACGGTGGTGCTACCATGTCAGGGGCCAGCTGGCGCTCACGCAGGGCGTGCACCGCGCTCACTTGCACAACCCATGCGCACGCTGGGGAATACGCGCAGATACGCAGCCCCCAGGGACACATGCACAAGCAGAGGGGCTCAGGAGCACCAAGAGCCAGCGACTGGGGCAGCTTGCGCAG